CCAAAGGCCATTAGTAGGAAATGCATATCTTTTATCTATAAATTAGTCATATATATGCTGGTGTATATTAGTCATATATATATTGCGGAATATTGCAATCCAGATCAGGAGAATTAACTCATCCAATCAAATGGAAGCTTACATCACTGGGATGTTAATTTAAGGATAATCAGAAGAAAATTTCATAGACGGACATATGGAAGCCCTATATAAGCTACCTTGCAGCCCTCAGAAGAAAATGGAATATAACTGTAATTGATAAAAAACTTCTAAGACCTGTCCATCAATGAAATGGCAGCACTGGCTTAACAAGCTACCAAAACTATCAGTGATCACTTAAAGTTAATATGAATAATATTAACTGACCAAACCTGCTTTCAAGAAAGAACCAGGAATCCAAATCATTCTAGTTATTGCTCCCTCTTATCTCCATATGGTATATTAGTACTAGTATCTATTATGAGTTCTCTGAACTAAAACAGTACACATTCTGCCTTGTGAGATATTCATCCACAGCCTGTTAAAATTTTGCCAAACCTTCAGTTACTAAACACAGTCAAATAACAATCAAAGAGGGGAAGACTGGAGCACAACACAAGCATGTTATTATCCTTAGCAAACCATTTGTTCCGGCTCATCTAAAACATGATTACACTTTGTTCCTGGGACAGGTATGATGAAAGTTCAAGCCCTTACAGAGCAGGCTCCCTTTGCCGGGGGAATTGCGTGGGATTCAGGGCTTTGACTCAGAGGATGAGAAGGAAAAAGAGGCTGGAGAACCAGTCATGAGTTACACTTTAGACTGGAGTTTCATCACAGTTCAGGGATGGAGGGCTTGTGCTCTTCTTATTTATGCCTTGAAGGCCACTGTACGCTTGGGGAACCAGCATCTGCTCCAGTCACTTGGTTCAACTGCAGACAGGAAAGAGACAAGGAAGCAGTGGAGCAGAGTTGAAAGACACAATGGGACCCTCTTCATATTTTGAATGGATCTATTTTAAAGCAAACATTTTATGTTATTCATTTGTTTGTTTGTTCATTGATTTATTTATTTATCAAATTTGTCACCACCCATCTTGTTGAACGACTCTGGGCGGCTATTTATTGTGTGAAGTGCTTTTTAGATGTTATTTATTGAGGTTTCTTTAGTGAGATCTGCTAATGCAGTGGTTTTATTGGCTCTGCTTTGTTGTAAGCAGCTGTCAGTTGATGAGGATTCCGAGGCCAATTTTTGATAAATAAATAAAATGTTCTCAGATAGTTATTTATTTTGAACCAGACCAGTGACTGATCTCAGCTCCTGTCATATCAGCATTTAACATCTATAGCAAGAGAATGTAACATACGTAAGACTTCAAGGCAGAGGCCATCTATCAGTTTCCAGGCGGTATTGGGCCATTCACAAACTTTTCTTATAGGTTTTTGGGTTTTTTGTTTTTGTGCCTTCAGTGTTGACTTCTGGCAACTGCCTGGACTAGTCCCTGCAGTTTTCTTGGCAAGGATTTTCAGAAGTGGTTTGCCCTTGTCTCCTCCTTCCTAGGGCTGAGAGGGAGGGACTGGCCCAAGGTCACCCAGCTGACTTTGTGCCTAAGGTGGGACTAGAACTCCTGGTCTCCCGGTTTCTAGCCTGGTGCCTTAACCACTAGGCCAATCTGGCTACTTCTTATAGGTTAGGACAACTTTTTCTGCTATCCCATCCATATCTTCTCTGCAGTGATTAGAACCTACTGCTTCTTCCCATTCTATCAGTGGCTCTGGAAAAATATTGTTTTCTCTCTGCCTTATAACAGCCTTTGCAATACTGTTCTAGCTCTCTGCCTTAATCTTTTCATCTATAAACTGAACATGCCCCTTTCCTTCAGCCTTGGATTTCACTGACTTACAGAAAGGAGCTATAGAAAAGACCCAGTGGGACATTTACTTTGTACCTCACAGTTTATTCTTTAGTATTTTGTTTTGTCTAATTTCTTGCTCCACTTCACATGGGAGACTTAAAGTCCACAGTCTGAAAAAGGCCATTGTTATCCCAATGTTGTATCTGAATGTAGCCATTTCTTGTGACACAGTAACCCACCCGCCGACAGCAGTGACTGACAGCAACAAGAACCAAGTTCCCTTCCAATTTGGCAAGATTGCCCACCCAGACACCTGGGACACTGAATTCAGACTCTAGAAAGCAATTGTACTTTATTTGAAATGTGCATCTCACCTTGGCTACAAAACAACCAAAGCTTTATTTAGTCTAGGAACGGCATTGGAAACCCCTTAAATACAACAAATTATTCAGATAAGCACAAGTCAGCAGAATCATCCATGTCACTTAACATAATAAACATGTATAAACTGGGTGTAATTTGTTTTAAATCCAAGTACTTCAAATATGGTTGTGTTTAACTGATCTTAATGATTTTCAGGCCATTTCACCCACCTGTCAGCTATTTCATTTAGACTCTGGGTGCAAATGTATTTTGGGAAGATGAAAATAACAGCAACTGCTTTTTGAATTTGGTACTGCCTTCATTGGAGGCCTCACTATAGTAAACACCAGCTGAATATATGGAAAACACATTTTTATAGAGCTGAGAGATCATTCTTCCATGTATTCAAGAGATTTAGCATTATAAGTAGTTATAGTGTATACCAACTTATAATGGGAGGTTTTTAGTTGTTTTAATCAGTGACATCATCAAAGTAAACGATCACAAATCCTGCCATATATGACATGTTACCTAATCCCATCAGGAAAGGCTGCTTGCCAGCCCTAAATTTAATAATTAATGTAGCCCTTCACTTGACTACTTTGACCTCTGGTAATTTTTTTTAGATTTTTTTAAATCCCATCTTTATTATTTTTATAAATAACTCAAGGCAGAGAACATATCTAATACT